GGGGGGTGTGCATGTCCATAGGCAGCAGAGCAACGTTGGAGCGTTTGGGATGTGTGAAGCAGTTTGGTTTTGTGCACTGAAGATGTGAGCTGGGTGCTCCTGGCAAGCAGCTCAGTGGTGAACTCGTTCACACCATCAATACTGGGTTTTGCTTCTCAACATCCATCGCAAGAAGGTGCTGGGGTGGGTGCTGTGTTCTTTTCTCATTGAAAAAATAATCTCACGAATGCATTTTACCTCTGGCAGCAAAAGTTTAGCATTTAAACTGAAGTGAGAAGGCATTCTTCCAGGCAACCTAAAATGCTTTGCTGCTGTAAGCCCACACCATTATTCTCCAGTTAGCAAACTGGCTTGCTCTGCTCTGGCTCCCTTAGGTTAAGAGCAGTGCAGTGGTTCCTCTGGACATTTAAAAAGCTCCCAGAGCTCCAAACTCTTCATGGAAATCAGTGACAGTAATCACTGGCAAAGGGAATTCTGGCAGGTCCTGCAGCCTGTGGGTACCCAGAACATCACAGGATTTAGTGGGGCACTTACATACCAGTTCTTTGGGGTTTTTCTCCTTTTTTTTTTTTGTACAATGGGAGAATTCAGGAGAAAGGTGTCTCCACAGTTTATCATGTCAGATGCTACAGTGGTTGACATGCCCTGAAACAAAATAATGAAATACCTGTCTGCCTCTCTCTCCAGAAAGAAATATTGTCTGTGTGAGAGCCAACCACGTGGAGAACATACCCTCAAAACACAAACAAGTAGCCCAGGTAAATAAATAAGTCACATCTGTTCCCTAGGCTGTGGAACAGAGGGACTGCCATAACTTATTTGAGAGAACACTGTAATTTTAGTTATGCTGGATTTTCAAGTCCGTTTTCATGTTCTGAAGTTTCAGGCCTGGCTCTGCTTGATGGATAAATGTTTTTTTTTAAAAACTTCTGTCTTAATGTTGCAGCCCCAAAACTGTCCCAAAGAGTGAAGTTAATCAAGTGACAGTGCATTCCTGCCAATCTATTAAGACACCTAAGAACCACAAACCGAAATTCTTAAAATGTCTTGTCTTCCAAGACCTTGGAAAGAGCTTTCACTCCGTGTATTGAAATCAAAAAGAAAAAAACCAAAACAACAGATGATACTGCTGGAAGGGCCACCCGTTTTGGGGTGTACAGAGTTATGCTCAGAGCAGGGCAGTTGTCTCTGCTGTCCTACAAGTGCTGTTTCCCCTCTGCTCAGTGCTACGAGGAGTTCATCCGTCGCTCCCCCCTGGACCCCTGCCTCCTCTTCCACGAAGGGGGACACTGGCGGGAGCTCGTGGTGCGTACCACCAGCCGTGGCCACACCATGGCCATCGTCACCTTCCACCCCCAGGAGCTGGGCCAGGTGGGTACGTGGAGGATGGGAACCCCTGGCAAGAGGCACATCAGGTGTTTGGCCGACCTGAGCTTGCTGGGTCTGTCGCTGGGGAGAGGTGTCTAATCACATTATCCAAAGCTGGGTTTTTTCTCACTCTCCACAGGAGGCACTGGCAGCTCAGAAAGCATTGCTTAAGGAGTTCTTCACATGTGGAGCTGGAACAGCCTGTGACTTGACTTCACTTTATTTCCAAGAGAGGTATATGTCTTGACACAGGGAAAGAGTGAAAACAAAGCCACCTTTTATTTTTTTTTTCTTTTCTCCCCCCATCTCTGATCAAATTCGAATTCTACCGGTTCAGGGAGTGCTTGAAGAGAATGACAGATGTTTGGATGCCTCTTGCAGATGTGGTTTTAAGATGGCCACATCTTTTGTTTTTCCAGACCTGAAATACTTGAATACACTGTGGCTCTACCTCATGGGAGGTATGAACCTGAGAAACTAAAGAAAAAAAGCTTACAGTGACTTTCCCAAGACAGTAAATCACATTAGCAGCAAAACTGAGGAATAGACCCCAGGACTGCTGCCTTCTGTCATTTTGATCCTTTTAATGAATTCTGGGCTGTGCAAGTTACAGATCCCTTAGAAATAATCAAAATTCTTTGATCCTGTTGAAAGGCTCACGTGAAATTAAAGTTGGTGGGGGGAGAACCATCCTCCCCTGCACACCAGCACCCCAGGAATGGACATGGGAACAGGCTGCTCCTCTGCTGCTTTCTCACCGCTGGTTTTTGTGTGCCCTGCCAGCACCATGACACGCTGCTCCCACGAGCAGTCCCCCTTCCAGCTCCTTCACGGAGAACCACACATCTTTGAAGAGCTGCTCGGCCTGAAGTTCCGCATCTCTCCAGATGCTTTTTTCCAAGTAAACACTGGTGGAGCAGAAGTTCTGTACCAGACGGTCGGGGAGCCGAGTCAGGCTGGTGGGGACACCGTCCTCCTCGACATCTGCTGTGGAACGGGTGAGCAGTGGCCAGGGTGAGCCTGGCTCCCAGGGCTGGTGCTCTGTGTGCCAAAAAATGATCCCTGCTATCTAAAGGCATGTTTCTTCCATGTGGATGTACGGAGTGGTTTTGTATCCCTCGTTTCCAGGCACAATTGGTCTGTCTCTGGCTCGCCAAGTGGCCAAAGTTATTGGTGTTGAGGTGGTGGAGAAGGCGATAGAGGATGCCAGGTGGAATGCAGCGTTCAACGGTGAGTTCAGGCTCACCGGGGCTGAAAACTTCACACTAACCACTGAAAAATTGGAAGAAGAATCATAGAATTGTAGAATGGTTAGAGTTGGAAGAGACCTTAAAGATCTTCTTGTTCCAACCCCCTGCCATGGGCAGGGACACCTCCCACCAGACCAGGTTGCTCAAAGCCCCATCCAGCCTGGCCTTGAACCCCTCCAGGGATGGGGCAGCCACAACTTCACTGGGCAACCTGGACCAGTGTCTCACCACCCTCACAGGAAAGAGTTTCTTCCTGATATCTAATTTAATATCCCCTCTTCCAATTTAAAACCGTTACCCCTTGTCCTGTCACTGCACTTCCTGACAAAGAGTCCCTCTCCAGCTCTCCTGTAGCTCCCTTCAGATATTGGAAGGAGCAGAGCGAGAAGAAGTGAGGGGAGGGATGCTAACAGGTTCCTTCCACGCAGCAAAGGGCAGTGCTTTGTGTTCCACCTGACGTCTGGTGAGACTGACTCTGCTCGGTTCATCTGGCTGCTTTTTGCTTCGCAGGGATTTCAAACTGTGAGTTTCACCGTGGAAAGGCAGAGACCGTGTTACCACAACTCCTGTCATCATGGGGGGATGCCCGACCCCTTGTTGCTGTGGTGAACCCATCTCGAGCTGGACTCCGTGAGAAAATATGCTATTTATTTTCATCTTGAAAACAGAGGGTTTTTTTAATAAGTTCTGTGAGACCTGTTATACTGGCTCCAAACCCTCTGCTTGCTTAGTCTTTAGTTTCTTACCTTGCTGCTGACAGCAGCTAAAATCCCAGAGTCTGCTGTTTTCAGTGCCTTTATCATGCTTTCTCTTTAAAATAGACAGCTCTCATGTTTTCTCCACCTTTCATAGGCTCACAGAATTATGTAGGAGAGAAGGAGCCTCTGGAGGTGCAACCTCCCAAATAAAGCAAGGCCAACTTGAGAGTTCTATCAGGTTGTGCAGGGCTGTAAAGCCCTGCTGAGGTTTGAGTGTTTCCAAGGGTGGATACCCTCTCCTAAAAATGCATTCCCTAATGTGTTTAATGAGAATTTCCCCTTGCTGCAGTGCATCTGTTGCCTCTCATCCTCTTCTTGTGTCCTTCTGTGAAGATTCTGGCTCCATCTTCTCTGTAATTCCCCATGAGGCTCCTGAGGATAGCAAATGGGTCTCTGCTCACCTTCTCCCCACCTTCTCCCCAGGCTGAATAACCCCAGCCCTTGCACTCTCCTCGTGCATGCGGTGCCCCAGCCCTCTAGCTGTCTTAGTGGTATCCACTGGACTCACTCCAGTGTGTCCTGGGAAGTCCCAAACTGGTCCTGGTGCCCAGATGTGGTCTCACAAGTGTATGTGGAAGGTTTTACATGCCTCTGCTTAATTAAGTAACAATTTTTCTCTCATCCTTCACCCCCTGGGAAGCAGAGGGATTTCTTCCACTGTTCTGCTCTGCCAAGTTGGCGGAGCTGTTAGTAGTGTGGGTCACATCCCTGGCCTCCTAAGAGCCTGGATCTGAGATAGGACATGGCAAAATATGTATATTCTTCCCCCCCACCCCCTACCCTGCATTTTTGACAGTTCGGTGCAGTTCTGTGATGTTTGCTGTGGAGTCATTCCTTCTGGAGAGCTCACGGTGGTGGTGGGTCACTGGGAAAGCACGGTGTCTGTTTTTGCAGATTACAGGGTTGTGCGAGCCATCCGAAACTGCAAGTCCATCCGAAGGCTGCTCTACATCTCCTGCAAGCCAGAGGGCGAAGCCATGAGGAACTTTCTTGAGTGAGCACCCTCCTCTCTTCCTTTCCACCCACTTTAGTGACAGACCCTGTTATGTCCAGACAAGGACATAAATATCTGACCTTGGCTTTTAGGGAGGTTTTTGTTGTGACTGAATTTCCCTGGGGGAGTTCTGCAGGCGTGATCCAGGACTAGTCAGTGCATCATCAGAAGTGATTTCTCTGTTCCTTTGGGTTACCTGCAAGAGGCACTCACTGGTTAAAGGTAGTGGGTGCTCTTTGGGTTCTAGATTCCAGCAGGACGCTTTAGTGCATCAGTAAAGAATAGAAAATAAAGCAAACATGCTATAATTGCGTTATGCACCTTCCCCAACAAAACAGCATGTCTGGATGTGGGATATGGAGTCCACTGGGTTCACAGCAGGAAGGTTGGCCCCTGGTCAACGGAGTAAAGCCGAGGGGATTAATCACCTGCTTAGGGTTAATCATACAGCTAAGTCTTTATCTGCAGGTAACCAGTGAAGGTAGTGCAAAACTGAGGATTATTTCCTAAGGGTATTAAGTGTCTGTCAGCTGGGATGGGTTGTAAGAAAGGGAGCGTTAAACCTGCCACTGACTCTTCAGCTCATCTGTGGGGTTTCCAGAGCTGGTTTGGGATTCAGTATTGATGGTTCCAGACCTCAGCCAGGGTCAGCTGCAGACTCTGAGGGATGGTAGCCAAACACGATGCCTCCTCAGGGCATCCTCCGTGCTTATTGTCCTCCCTACAATGGTGGGAAGGCTTCTGCTGCTGGTCTAAAGGATGCTCTGCCGTCCACAGGCTGTGCTGCCCACCTGACCCAGGGAAGAAGCTGGCAGGAGAGCCGTTTGCCCCCACGTTGGCTATACCTTTTGACATGTTTCCTCACACTGGTCACTGTGAGCTGGTGCTGCTGTTGACCCGCTGACAAGGAGGCAGGTGCGCCAGGTATACCTCCTGCTGTCCTCAGACTGGAGTCCATGTAGTTAAAATCCTAACTTATTTTCTTGAAGTTGTATAAAAATAAATAATTTTGCTTTTGCTCTTACTTCACGTTGCCTAACCACACTGTTCTGTAAGGAAACACTCGGGTTTCTGGGGTAAAAAGCTTCTCTGTGGCATTTTATCACCTTTTCCTCTCCTGCAAACCTCTTCTTGGGCTGCTGGTTAAAGCTGCCAGGAAAATACCCTCTCTCTTGTATTGTGGGTTTTCACCATCAACGTCTGAATACAAAATACTAAAATCCACTATATTTTCTACAGCTGACATGCCAGTAGTTCTCTGCTTGCTTCAAGGATATTTCAGGTGTTTTTCATGTTGATAGTGAACTTGCTACGAAGAAACCATAGGAACTGGAAATCCCCATGCTCACTGGGAAAATAATGACTACTGGGGTCAGGGAAATATTTCCTGTATAAACTTCCAAACCCATTATTGAATTGCTGTCAGTCATGTGGATAAGTCCGAGACAATGAGAAAGATTTTTCCATAAAACAAAATGAAGAGAGAATTGAGTTCAGTCTCTTCTTCCATCTCTGCCTCCCTGTGCCATGTGGGAGCCGAGCGACCGGTAGCGGCGGGGTCGGTGGAAGCAACGGGCAGACCCCGGGCAAGCGTGGCCGGTAGCGTGGCCGCTCGCCCGTGGCCCAGGAGGGGACCGCCGCTCCCGGTCGCCCCTTCCCGGGGTCGGGGCAGCTCCCAGCAAAGCCCAGACGCTCCCCCGGGTCAGATGCACGGCCCCGGGTGTGTTTAGAAACCAAATGGTTTATTTTCTGGAGCGATCTGGCCACCGACGTGGGGGCTGATGGTGGGTCGCTGTGCTGCTTGTCCCTCTCCTTCCCACCACAGAATCACAGAATGACGTGGGGTTGGAAGGGACCTCTGGAGATCTTCTAGTCCAACCCCCCCACCAAAGCAGGGCCACCCAGAGCAGATTGCACAGGAACGTGTCCAGGGGGGTTTGAATGTCTCCAGAGAAGGAGACTCCACCACCTCCCTGGGCAGCCTGTTCAAGGGCTCTACCACCCTCAAAGGAGAGAAGTTCCTCCTCACATTTAGGTGGAACTTCTTATTACCCAAGTTTGTGCCCATTTCCTCTTGTCCTGTCACTGGGCATAGCTGAAAAAAGACCAGCCCTGTCCTCCTGACACCCTTTAAGTATTTGTATGCATTGATTAGATACCCCCTAAGTCTTCTCAAGACTAAAAAGACCCAAGTCCCTCAGCCTCTCCTCGTAAGAGAAATGCTCCAGGCCCCTCATCATCTTTGTGGCCCTTTGCTGTCCTCTCTCCAGCAGTTCCCTGTCCTTGAACTGGGGAGCCCAGAACTGGTCCCAGTGCTCCAGACAGGGCCTCCCCAGGGCAGAGCAGAGGGGGAGGATGACCTCCCACAGCCTGCTGGCCACACTCTTCCTGATGCACCCCAGGATGCCATTGGCCTTCTTGGCCACGTTGCTGGCTCATGGTCATCCTGTTGTCCACCAGGTCTCCCAGGTCTTTTTCCTCAGAGCACCATGGCTCTGTCCTGCACATTGAAGTTACTGCCCCGGCACCTTCGCCCTTCGAGCGCTCTCCTGAGCAGCCTGCCTGGTGGGGACCACAGCCTGGTGAAGGAGAAGACGACAGCGGTAAAGCAGAGGGAGAAGAAAAAGGCCAGGGAGGACATCAGCCTGCCAGGTTCCTCCTGGGAGGAGAGGTACGGTTCCTTCAAAACAACCAAGCGCTCTTCCAAAGCACCAAACACCCGAAGCTGTTTGAGCAGTGGGTTGGGGGTTTCACCTCCACCCAGCTCTCCCCAGTAGAAGAGCCAGGGCTCAGCTGGCTTGCCTGGGGATAGGAATAATGGAAAAAGGTGAAGGAAAAGGTCTAAGAGGGAAGGAGCAGAGCAGTTGCTGTACTGGCAAGTAAAAAGTAATAGCCAGTTTGATTTGCAGGTCCGTGTCTGAAAGTAGTTGGCACTGGGTGCTTTGGAAGCAGCTCCAAAAATCCCAGTAAGCCGTAGCAGCAGCTCCTCCAGCTGTGGGGTGAGGTTTTCCATGGGCTCAGTGAGTCAGTAGTTGGTGGATAGCTACGGCAGTTTAGATTGTATCCACCTCACCCTCTACTCTTTTTTTTTCTTTTTTCCAAAAAAATCAACTTTTAGGTGTTTTGTTCTTGTTTGCCCTGGCCCAGATACAAGTAGTGGCAAGTTCTGAGGTTTATCTCTGAACTGGTCAGTGAGAGTGGGCAGCTGGTGATTCCCTGCCAGCTCCACACAAACTGTCCATTTCCCTGGGGTGGATTAAATCTAGTACAGCATTGGCAAAAAGGACACAGTCGTGCGTGGCTGGAAATGTGAGCAGGCAGATGATGCAGGATGGATGCTTCGAGGGATGAGAGAAGCATCGTGCCCTTTTAGGGGAAAGCTCCAGGGAGATGGGACTCGGGCTGTCCTCGGAGCAGCAAGGGATGGCCAAAGCCTCTGATTCACTGGGAGAAAGCAACAGAGTCCATCTGAAGCTACAGAATGATTTCTTTTTTTCCCTTTGTTTCCCTTCGCCTGCACTTTGTTGTTATTTTTTTCCCTCTGACCCCAGTAACATTTGAATACTCATTCCCCTGGCTTTACCAGCCTGGAGTCAGATCTCACCAAGGGTCTTTCTGGGTCCATGTTCCTCACCCTGTCCTCTCAAGGGGGATCAGAAAGATACCTGGGTAACCCAGAACACCCAGGTCTCCCTGGTCAGACTTCTGCCAAAGGCTCAGCCTGTCCTCTGGAGAACTGGTTGTTGTGGTCTTTCTGGGTCCCTCTTCCAGCCACGAGTGTTCTGCACCAGGAAGGTGCCATGAATAGGGAGTTTGGATGTTCACAGCCAGCTCTGGGGCAGAGCCCGTACCAGAAGGGTCCTGCCCATGAAGCAGGTGGTGGGGATGTTATGCCCTAAGTATCAGGAGGTGAGTAGCTCTGGGCACTACCGTGATGTTGTGCTTTCCAGGCTAGCAAACGCGGTGACTCCGCTGTGGAGACTTCCCTACCAAGAGCAGCTGCAGGTAAGATGTGCTTACGTGGACTTTTCTCCGTTGTGCTGTCCCAACTGTCCCTCCTGTCTCCCTGGAGCAACAGCCCCTAGCATCTTAGTCGCTTAATGCTGTAAACTCTTCAGACCCCGTTTACTGCTGCTTTACTTCTTCAGTTATTATGAAGGATAGAACTGGGAGGTTCCCTGTGGGTGGTGTGTGTGATCACCAACAGCACAGCGATCCTGTCCAGTGTGGGACAGCAGATTCACTGGGGCTTCAGGTTGGACCAAGTGCTCCAGGCCAGCACTTGGGGACCGTGGACACAGGATTTCTTTCTCTCCCCGTTGCTCCAAGCAGCTATGGTGATGAGAAAGGCAAAGTTCCTCTAGGGCTCTATCCCCCTTGCGGTATTCCCGCCTGTTGGCCTTCCCAGAGGTGGGTGATGAAGAGCTGCCCACCGTTTTTTAGGTGTTTTGTTCTTGCTCACCCTGCCCCAGGGTGGTCCTTTGAGAGTGTTTCTGGCTTAGGACTCCTCTGCAGGTGAAGCATGAAAGCCAGAGGAAGGTTTTGCAGACACTGGCGTCTCGTCTTGAGGAGCTGGGCGTAGATGGGCAGAAACCTGGTGGACTCTGCTGTCCTCTCCAGCCTGTAGTCCCTTCAGTGAGTATCCCACAGGAATATTGTCCCCTCTGAGCTGCTAACAGTCTCTCACTTGACTCCTGAAGAGCCTTATGGTGGGGATTGCTTGGTTGCAGGGAAGGTGTCTGTGGCAGTCCTTGCTGGCTTCTGCTTTGCAGCCTGTGACTGCTGAGAACAAAACAAGCCTTCCCTGATAAACCTGTCACCATTCTGTCGCAGAGAGCCATTTCTTCTTCCCGAGGGGAAGTATTGGGGGTCTTGTGCACAAACTCTGTTTCTGCGTTTTGCACATTCATGTGTATCTTCCTGTGCTGCCAACGGAACAAGCAGGCTGTGTTTTGGGCTTTCCTCCAGTACTTTTTCTTTTAATCCAAGGCTTTACTTTTCCTTCTTTTCTCCCTCAGCCCGTCATTAATGGCTACCGAAACAAATCTACGTTCTCTGTGAACCAAGGACCAGATGGGAACCCCAAAACCGTGGGGTTGTATGTGGGAACTGGCAGAGGTCAGTTCTGGAGCAGGGCAGAAAGCTACTGGTGTGGGATGGGTTGGGGCAAGGCTCTGCTCTGCCAGTCTCCACCCAAGTTAGAAGCCTGAATTCTGCAGGATGCCAACAGAAACACCACCAGCTCTGGGGCAGCAATTTTAAAACCTCAGTTTATTAGCTTCTCAAGAAAATACCAGCTTCTAATTTGCTAAACACAGCAGTAAGGATGACAGCTGTGGTGGCAGCCCCTCCAGGATTTACAGAATCACAGAATGATACAGGGTTGGAAGGGACCTCTGGAGATCATCTAGTCCAACCCCCTGCCAAAGCAGGTCCTCTTAGACCAGGTTGCACAGGAGCGTGTCCCGGTGGGTTCTGAATGTCTCCAGAGATGGAGACTCCACCACCTCTCTGGGCAGCCTGTTCCAGGGCCCTGCCACCCTCAAAGTGAAGAGGTTCCTCCTCATGTTTAGATGGAACTTCTTATATTCCAGTTTGTTTCTGTTTCCTCTTGTCCTGTCACTGGGCACGACTGAAAAAATGATTTAGCTTTCTTATTCTTAATTATGCTGTTCCTGTGATTTTGGCGTGCTCCAGGAGCCTGTGCTGTGTGGGGAGGGCATGGAATGGGGGGTGTGCATGTCCATAGGCAGCAGAGCAACGTTGGAGCGTTTGGGATGTGTGAAGCAGTTTGGTTTTGTGCACTGAAGATGTGAGCTGGGTGCTCCTGGCAAGCAGCTCAGTGGTGAACTCGTTCACACCATCAATACTGGGTTTTGCTTCTCAACATCCATCGCAAGAAGGTGCTGGGGTGGGTGCTGTGTTCTTTTCTCATTGAAAAAATAATCTCACGAATGCATTTTACCTCTGGCAGCAAAAGTTTAGCATTTAAACTGAAGTGAGAAGGCATTCTTCCAGGCAACC